AGGCCTGCCAAAGTCCGTGAGACCCAACCCCTCCATCTCCTTGCATTCCCTGAATTCTCTCCCTATTCACAGAAAAGTGAGGCTGAGGAGGTTGGGGCTCTGGAGCCAGACGCCAGCTGGGACCTGGTTCCATCACTCACCTGTTGTGGGGTCCTCCACAGACTCTTTTCTCTTTGCACATTATCTTCCTCTCCTGTAAAACAAGAATGCCATTCTTTTCTCCTGGGATTGTCAGGGAAGACCTGATGTGTCTGGTGTCCGTGTTCCTGCACAGCTTTCTTGTTTTACCCTTAGTTAGAGGTTCTTGAACCGATGAAAGACACTCAGGTAGCTCGGAGATCTCTCATTGCTCTCAGCTCTGAGGTCCGAAGTCCTTTTGGAGTAAGTGGCCCTGACCTAGCACTCTTGAATTTGTGGGGAGATTATAAGAAGTTCGGCTATGTGACCAGAAAAAGGCACCTAGCCTCACACCATGGCCTTGGTCCCTGGGAGGAGAGGACACTGAACATGCCTTCACTGGCTCTAAGACAGGCGTATCCTTCATGAATCTAGGTATCAGCTGCAACCATGGTAGAAACAACAGCAGTTCCCCTGTCCATCTCAGACTCTAAGGAAGATTCTGAAGAGCAAAGGGGCAGGGCTGGCTTTGGAGTTGTCCTACTCTGGTCCCCACCCACCCCCCCACCCCCAACCATGCCTTTTGTCCCTCCCTCCCTCAAGCTTCAGGGAGCATTGGGTCCAGTTTTGGCTTCTGTCCTTGGTTCTTGTAACAGGCCAACCCCACTGAGTCACTGCCTCCCCCTCCCACTCCTCCCTGTGGACACTGAGGCTCACCTCCACCCACCAGCCAGGCCCCCAGGAACTGTAAGAAGTAGATGGACCTTCTGGCAGGTACATACCCCCTCCCAGTGATAGAAGCAAATAAGAGGCATCAGGCCACAAGCCCTAGCTAACCCAGGCCCACAGAGCACAGCAGGCAGTTGGGGGAGGGCACACATGCTGAGACAGAGGCAGAACTAGGCTGTGGCTTTCCCAGTCCACATAGAATGTGCCCTGTAAGCAGACTGTATGCTGTCCACTTTCATACTTCTGGCTCTGCACTTGAGGCCTGGCACAGAATAAATATTTAGGGGTATCTAAGACTAGTCACAATGCCCCTACCCCGCTGAGCTCCCCATCTGTGGGTCACATGGGAACCAGAGCTAGAGAAAGTCACTGATACAGACAGACCCAGACAGAAGAGACAGAGGGCTGTAGGACATACACATCTGGGATGGTAAAGGCACAAACAGAAACAGGGACAGACACTGGCCTAGTGGAGTACATTGGGGAGCCAACCTAGGGTGGCTGACCACAGCAGGCTTTGTGGGCTGAGCTTGCAAGTCTGAACCGTGACTCATGGAAGCAATCCCTGGTTCTGCTGGCTGCTGAAGCCTTTTCCACTGAGATCGTCAAATGTGGACAGGCCCCTCCCCTGCTCCTTCACTAGTTCTCTCCTGCCTCTCTTTTTTTGACACATGATCAATTTAAAGAAAAAAAGGAAAACACTAAAAGAAAAGAAAAAAGTGACCTCTGGGCTTTGTTAGGCTTGGGGATACAGGAGCAATACCATGATACCTTAAATTCTGTGTACCCTTCTTCAGGGCTACTGTAAACAGAAAAGACAACCTCAGATACTCCAGACCCCTCTCTCATCTTTGACCTAAATAACCCCAGGCTCCTTGGTATTGCATTCAGGGCCATCAGAGGTATGACTTTTTACCTAGATCCTGGATGGCTCTTGGAAACACAGCTAACTAAAGGTCTTTTGTTTCATGCTACCTTCTCTGATTTAGAAAACCCTCATCATCCTCAAAATCCTTCCTTTTAGCTCAGTGCTGCGGTACATGCCTCTTCACCTACTGGAGATGAAAAGGCTGGAAGATCACAAGTTCAAGGCTAGCCTGGTCTACATAGAATAAAAAGGTTCCAAAAGGCAAGACAGAGCTTCATAGCAAGGTCCTGTCTTTTTTTTTTTTTTTTTTTTTTTTTTTTTTTTTTTAAGATGAAGGGAAGCTGGGGAGATAGCTCTGTGGGTAATGTGTTTGCCTTACAAGCATAAGGCTCTGAGTTTGATCCTCAGAATATTTTTTTAAAGCTAAACATGGTGGCACACACTTATAATTTTTGCTTGGAAGACAGAGACAGGCAGATCCTGTGGCTCACTGGCCAGGTAGCCCAGCCTAGTTAGCAAGTGAGAGACCTGCCAGTTCAAAGTGGATGGCTTCTGAACACACACCCCCCCCACACACACACACACACTTTCCTCTTAAAAGGCCTGGGTTCATCAGTTCTCTCCATTCATTCCAGGTAGTATACCCACCCCTGTCATTGTGTCCAGTCAAGTGGCCAAATCTGGACAAACTCTTGATTTGCTTGCTCCTACAGAGCAAATGCCTGGCAGCTTTTCCCACTTCCCAAGCTGTACTCACTAGCTAAATCAAAACTCTTGGAGTAGGTAGGCATAGTGGCTCATGCCTTTAATCCTAGCACTGAGTGGGGGGCAGGCAGGCAGATCTGTGAGTTTGAGGCCAGCATGGTCTGCATACCAAGTTCCAGGCTAGTTAGGGTTACATAGTGAGACCCTGGCTCCAAAAATCAGACACCTTGAAGTAGGCTCAGCAATCTCCATGTTCCCCAGTTATTCTGACACTAAAAGGAGTGGAACAATTGCCTATTGTTTCATCCTCTTCACTTTCTCTGAGCTGCTGAAATAGCCTCCCCTCTATCTCTAGCTTTCCTTTCTTGGAATCCACCACTTAAGCTTCTATAATCTACTACTCTTCCTGTCCCCTTTCTTCCCATAACTCAAAGAGCCACAGAATTTTCCATGCATCTTTGTCTTGCAGAATTAGTACAGCAATGCAAACCCTTACCATTTGTTTCCACAGAGCCAGGACTGAGACAATTCCTTCCTATTTTAATCCTAGTCTTATGAAGTATCAAGCCTGATTGTTAACCCTTGTTTATGGGACAGGGTTTCACTGGGTACCTCTGGCTAGCCTGGGATTTTGGCTTTAACTCCACAGGGATTCACCTTCTTCCACATCCCCAGTGGTAGGATTAAAGGCATTTTGCCACTACACATTGCTTCAACTACCGCATTTTAGAGATGAGAAAACTAAGTCTCAAAAAGCTTAGGTAACGGGACCCATATGATATAGATAGTAACAGCTAGAATTGACTCCGAATTGTTAACTACTTTAATTAACTATCAAGTCCTATCAACCAGCTGTTTAGCAAATTTGAAGATAAAGCTGTCACTCTTCCTTCTCTTTCGCTTTGCCCCAGGCACGTCACAGAAAGTTGACCAAGCCTGTGGTTTTCTGATGTGTTCTAAGGTCCTCAGACTCAGAGACATGAAACATGGACTAGTGAATGCCTAAGGCTGTGTGGTGGGTGGGATGAGGAGAGACCAGTACAGAGCTTCATGTGGGAATGATGAAAATGTTCTATTCTTATATCATGAGAAGGTTGTACAACGATGTGAACATACTAAAAGCTGTGGTTGGAGAAGACTCAGTGATTGAAATACTTGCTGCTCTTCCAAAGGACCAGAGTTTGGTTCCCAGCACCCACACTAGGAGGTACACAAACACATTCAACTCAAGCCTCTGGCTTTTGAGGGCACCTGCACTCATGTACATACCTACATGCAGACACACACACCTACATACAACTATAACAAAAATAAACCTTGTTTTGAGACGGTCTCTCTATGTAGCCCTGGTTGACTCCAAATTAGCCACATACATAGGCCAGGATGGCTTTGAACCCATAGAGATCGGCCTGCCTTTGTTTCTTGAATGCTGGTATTAAAGATATGCCCCACCATACTCAGCAAAAATGAATCTTAAAAGAAACAAAACAAATTTAACCATACATTTTAAAGAAGTGAATTTTATGGTGTTTATTCTCAAAGATGCTTTTAAAAAAAAATCTTCAGGCACAGTAGGAATTAGACTGGGGGAATTTCAGGACTGCTTTGATTTGTCTGATAAATTCTCAGGGTGGTCAACTCTCTGGAGCTTGACTTCCTACCTGTCATCTGTGGAGAGCCACACCTGTTCTTACATTTTCCTAGAATGTCCCTGTGGCAGTACACACAGAAGCTTCACCCTTGGATAGCTTAGACCCTGACCTCCAGGGTGTTCTTCCTGCTGTCCTTTCCCATTTTGTGGACTCCCAGTTCTGAGACACCTTCTTCCCCAACCCAGACAGTGGTCTCCTAGATTGCTACTCCATGCCTCCTGTGAGGAGGGTAAATAATGTTGGGAAAGTACTTATGAGGACCAGAGGGACTGAGAGTTCTGTTTAAACTCTCCCCTACTATTCTCTACTCCTGAAAATCTTGGAACAGACAGATCCTTCTTGTCCCCACCCCAGAAAGCCTGAGACAAATGGACAGAGGACACTCATCCATCTAAAAGATGTTTAATGTATTGGGTTCAAGGTACAAAACACAAGGCAAGGGCTAACCCCAGGAAAGCCACCTGCTACTCAATCAACTGTCCCCAAACGTTGCAGCCAGGCATCCTAGCTCCTATATTAGCTGTGCAGTGGCCCTGGGATACCTGATTCCTTTTCCTTTTGGGAAAATTTTGAGGTGGAGACATAGGCGCCCAGAAGCCTCTTTGTTTCCTACTTAGAAATCTCAGATCCAAGTCTCAGAACATTCCTGACTCAGGCCTAGAGCAGCTGACTGGCTAAGAAGCAGCTCTGACCTAAAGCCTGGCCCAAGGCCTAGTCCTAGAAAAGGAGGCACCATTACCTCAACATCTGGCAGCAAAGGGAAAAGGCTAAAGCAAAATGTGGAGGCAGACTCGCACTATTCCTGAAGCTGACCCAACTTGTTAGTTGAGCCAAAGGCCTCAGAGGCCTGAGCTACATCCTACCCCGGTTATTCTGAGGACCAGCCCCTCATAATGCCTCATTACCAGAGCACTGATCCTGACCTGGTGCTGGGTGGGGGTGGGGGTGGGGGTGGGGGTGGAGGGAAGACCAGTGTCCACAGATGACACTCTTGCTTTGGAGGCAAGAACAGCTGCCAACAGTAAGTCCAGGAAGACGCCCTAGGGAAGGGACACGAGACTGGATCTATCCCCTAGAACTCTGGACTGGATCCTGAGCCATTTTTGAAATGAAAAGCGGAAAGGGTTAAGAGCAGGGAGAGTGGTGAGAAGGGTCCCTGTGAGGACCAGCCCAGGAAACCCTTCTGTCCAGTCCCAAGGAGGCCCAGTTGCCACTCCAGTCCAGGCCCCTCTGCCCCCATACTAGGCTGAGTAGGGCTCCTCTGCACATTGCCTGAGGAACACTCTCCACAGGGGCTATACATCCTGCTCCTCCCTGAGGCCCTGGGCTACAGCCGGCCTCCTCTGTTGAACTGGATGCACCAGTGAGAGTTGGCAGTGCCTGGACTAAGATGAGTGTGGTCCTTGTGGCCCATGAGGGGCTGCAGCTCCTGCTGCTGGGAAATGTCAGCACTGCTCTCACTTCGAGAACGGCCAGCTTTGGCCAGGCTTGGGGGGAAGGCAAAGCTAGAACGAGGGTCAGAAGACATGTCAAGAGGAACCTGGGTCTCTTCCATACCCAGTGGGTGAGGAGGCAAGCGGGTTAAAGTGGGGGGCTGGGTACAGGGAGGGGATGCCAGGCTCTCCAAGGATGAGATGCTCTGGTTCCAGCCTGTCTGCATGTCCACGGGCACGATCTTGGTTGTTTCTGAAGACACGTATACAGCCAGGTCTCCCTGCCCACTCTTCCAGGGTAACTCCTTCTCCGCACAGGTTGGGGAGGGAGGGATGATGCGTGGGCTTGGGCACACCTCGAGGCTTCCTGGGAACACAGAGAGAGTACACACGAGTTCATGATCAGTGAAGCAGAACCCTCAAGTACACTCAAGGTCACTATACTACACTCATCTGTGCTGTATTCAATAAATATCTTCCTGGAAGAAAACACCAGAGTGCTTTGCTTTCTCATGGCCCAGCAGCAGCACAGGGCTGCACACAGAGTGGTTCACGAGGGACATACCGAACAGATGGCAATAACTACAGCTCAAGAAAATCAAAGAGGAAAGATATCTTGTCTCTGACCGCTCTCATCAGCATCAGCAGTGACACCAGCTTAGAAACTGCATCCTGCTACTCACACTGTAGATCAGGCTGGCCTCGAACTCACAGAGATCTGCCTGCCTCTGCCTCTGCCTCCTCAGTGCTTTTTATCCACTAGGATTCCATTTTGATGGCTCAGGTTCCTCCCAAGGTCAGATACCGACCTCCTCATCAGAGCTCTATGTGCCAGCAGGTGTTCTAAGCCCAGGTCCCAAGAGAGCCCACTTTTAGGTCTGCTTATCACTTTGTGATAAGGCCAGAAGAACAGACGGTGGGAAAGCCAGCTGCACAGGAGAGACGGACTGCAAGGTAGTCATTACCTGAGACCTTGCCTTCTTGGAGGATCTCGCTGGTGGCTCGAGCCACGAAGATGATCCCTTCATCATCCTCTTTTTCTGTCTCTGAACTGTCACTTTCTTCCTCCTCCTCAGACTCCACAGTTAATATCACAGCACCTATAAAGGGCAAACCATCCACTAGGTTAGCTGCTTCTTGGTACCAAACAACCTGAAGCTAGCTCCTGGCCCCATCCCCCAGGCAAAGCCCATGTTGGCAGAGGCACCTGCATCTTCCTTCAGCCTTTTTGGGCACTGGCCTAGAGTGCTGAGCTTCAGGGAAAGGAGAGAAGACTGAATAGCCCAAGAAGACTATCAAAAGGTGCTATGTCCCCAGAGGAAGCCATAAGGGCCATAACTCCCAGTTCTTTCTATTGTCATCCCCAGATCAACTGACACCATTAACACCCACATTCAGCTCACAAAGAACTAGGTTTTAATATTGGACACTAGGTCTTTGGTTCCACCTACCCCATAAGGCCGAGGCCAGTCTACCAGTGTCCATGACCTTTTCCAAGTCTTTGACAGGTATAATCAGCAATCTTTCCATACATGGCACACTGAATGGAACTATTCTAACACTGACATGTGCCTACGTAGTCCCTGAGGGGAGGGGCCCAGCTCATGGTGCTGTGTTCCCAGAGGAGACTCTCCAGGATTTGGATGACAGGCCTTCTCCTTCCCCTCCTCCCTTCCATCCCCGAAGCTCTCGGCTTGCCTGTGTCCTGAAAGCCCAGGTCTCGAGGAGGTTTCCCATTTGTAGCTTCAGGATTAGCCACACCATCCTTCTGGGGACCAGAAAACAAACCTAAGACTCTGGCTTGGTTCTGCCGCCCATCCACAAACCCTATAAAATGACAAAGTCAACAGAACAAGCCTTCCTAACCGTGGGGGGTGGGGTGGTGGTTATCACAATGGTTTTATCGCCCCACTATTCCTTGATCAGTCAGGCAGGAACTGTGAAGTCTAGAGTGACTCACTTCCTATCCAGGGCTCTGGATACATGGGCCTGGATTGGCTGAAGGGCTCCTAGAATTGCCTTACCAAGAACTTTGCCCTTTTTCTGTTTCATCTCTGGTAGCAAGTCATCCCAAGGCTGAGAGACTGCCCTCCCTCTGAAGCCACCTCCACCCCACTCTTCAAAGGCCTCAGACAGGCCTAAAAAGAAACCCAAACTGCTATAGTCATCAAACCCCTGAAAATATTTAAATAAAATGTTTCCTTGGGCTGAGTTCCAGTATGTGAGAACTCAGAATTATTTGCTATCAGCCTACGGCCCCACAGGAGGTATCCCAGAGAAAAGACGTGCCTTCTTGTGGCCGGTCTTACGGGGTCGAGGTTTGCTCTTGGTGAAACAGATGTTGTGCTTGGTGGACTTAAAGGACTCTAGCCGTCGCTTCATGTTCTGCTGGAAGACCTCCTTGTCCTGTCGCTCCTGTGCATCCTCCGAGATGAAGTGGCGGCCGCAGCTAGCTTTGTACTGGCAATGACAGCCCCACCCTGCCATGAGCCTGGGAGCCTTAGCCTCTCACAGAAACCCCAGGCCACAACCTCAACACGCTCATCACAGGTCCTGCCAACCAAGCTTTTCCAGAATTAGCCATGGATTAAAAAAACAAAATTAAAACATACAAAAGGATTATAGTCAGAGACTCTGTTCTCAGTTCACTAAGGAAAAACTTCCCTTTTCCCTGGAAATTATTCCCGAAAACCTGGTTTTCCTTATCTTCTGTTCCCCTTTCCTTTGCTCTCTCTAATGTGAAGTGATAAGAGACAGGGGTCCTGTACTTTGTTCCCTGGGGTTACTATAAAGCTATAGAGCCGTATCTTTGGCATGTGCATTTATCTCTGTATGGCTCATATATCCAGTCCACATAGCCCCAAGTAGCTACACAGAATCATCTTGCCAACTGTTTTCCTTTTAGACATTTCTACAATGATCACAATACCAGGCCTATGCTTTGAACTTTTCTAACTACCTGTCCTAGGTCCTCTTGGTCCCAGCAACTGCATACTTAATTTAGGGTCAGCCCTTTAGCTGCTTCTTTTAACTCTTTCTCATAAAGACCAAGCCCTTCATTCCCTCACCCAGCCTACCTGTTTGTGCTCTTGGGAGTAGCAACCTTTTCCTATCCAGTAGAAGGTAGTCATCAAAGTACTGCCTAGAGATTGCCTGGTCACTTTATCTTGCCTCCAGTTCTATCTGGTTCCTCTTCTTTTCTTTTCTCTCTGTTTTCTTTATCTCCAGTTTTTCAAGACAGGTTTTCTCTGTGTAGTTCTGGATGTCCTGGAACTCACTCTGTAGATCAGGCTAGCCCGAAACTCAGAGATCCACCCGCTTCTGCTTCCTGAGTGCTGGGATCAAAGGTGTGTGCCACGGCCACCACCACCACCACCAGGGTTGGTTCCTTTCTCATTCCTCAATTTTTCTGTTTCTTTGAACCACTTCTGAGAACTCCTTGAAATCTCTCATCTGCCTTTCTTCTTTACCTATGTACCTGGAAATGCCACCCCTCCTCTGGAGCAAAGTGGACCTGTCTCGGCTTTGTTCAACTCACTCCTTCCTGCCCCTCAGTTCTCAGCTCCCTCCTATCTCTCCCGCACCTTTTCCTTTCTTACCAGCAGCCACTCGACCTCTGTTTCCAGACCATTTCCTACCCTTGTTTTTGTTCATTTGCTTGTTTTTAAAGTCCTTTCATTGCCACTGCTATCTCTTTTTTGAGGCCAATCACTTATAAATTGATTAAGATACTTTCCTTCCTGCCTACTATTTCCTTAAATACTGAAAATGCTATTCAAGTTCCCTAAGACTGCAATGCTACCTTCTCCCTGGTCACCAGTCCTGAAGCCTCTGCATAGGTACCCACCTGACCTGTGTATGACAGCTAGCCCTGCTTCTACCCCAGGCAGAGACACTATCCGTTATTCCCTCTCCAAGGGTTCTTTTCTCTCCTTTGCTGGCTTCCTATTCCTTTCTTCCATGTATATTCCTCTGAGTTATTTTTGGCTCTCCTCTCTTTTCCCTAAACACTCTCCCCAGAGAACTTACACATTCTCTCCACTTCAACTAACCCAGTGACATGATCTGCAGTTTCAAAACAGCAGGCATCAGACCAGCTGCATCTGAATCATCAGGGGGGCTTATTAAAAACACAGACTCTTAGTCTGGCTCCACATTACAGGATCTAAATCTCTAGGAGGTGAAGCCAAGAATATTCCAGCTTCTAAGGGAATTCCAGGACTGTCAAATGAGGAGACCTCTGTTGTGCGTACTCCCAAATCTTTCTCTCCAGCCCCTATATCTCTCTTAAGCTATAATCTAAATTAAGTACACACTATCTCTAATGCATTTCTGCAGAGACTATAAGGAATTAGGGACTGTGTCATGGTGCAACTAAGAGGATTCAGAACTAGTTGAATAACCATACCCAAAAATGCTCCATCCATGTCAGTCTGGAGGAAAGTCTTTAGTAGCATGCCACAGGGCTCTGTCCTCAGCTCTATCCTGTTCAATATTTATGGTGATTTAGTTGAATATAACATTAACAGGCTTAGCAAGTTTTCAGATGATACGAATTTGAGAAAGAGACATTTGGTGGTAGACATAGGATCCAAATGATGGAATGATGGCCAAATGAAATAAGACAACATTTAGCAAATAAGCACAAACTTCCTCTAGTTCTTTTTAAATGGACTATACAAAAACTGAATCAAACCCACCGGTCAAAGGTGCGCACATGCACATGCACGTGTACACACACACCAACACACATCATGTGCTCCCTCTGATGTAACACAATAAGAAGTGTATAGCATACCGGAAGCCCCTAAATCTGATCAGGTTCCAGATTTAATAACCAGAAAATATAAGAAATGGAGTAATGCATTAAATAACACTGGAATGCAATCAGCAAAATCTAGAAAAATGGTAACTTCTCCAACATAAAATATCTAGTTTTTTCAATAAATGGGGGGGGAATATTATAGTTTTTCTTAATGGAGGTCATATTTCCAAGATATAAATTGTGGACTTATTTTTGGATCTTGAGTTATGTAGGAAAAAACAGGTATTTACTGAACATTGACTGGGCATTTGATATAAGGAATTATAATAACTGTAATAACAGTATAGTGCTGGGGAATCAAACCCTAGACCTCACAGATGCTAATTAAATGCTCTGCCACCATCCTGTCTCCTTAGCCTAACTTTTTTTTTTTAAGTTCATGCCAGCTGAGGTGGTGGTTCACACTTGTACTTGGAGGGCTGAAGCAAGAAGATGCCCAATTTGATGCCAGTCCTAGGGTAACCTGCAAGACTATGTCTTGAAGCCAAAATTTAAAAATAAAATAAAATAAACAAAGAGTTCTTGCCATAAACAGATATTCATAGATGATGTGATAAGATGTCTGGAGTCTGCTGTAAGATAAAGTGTGGGCAGGGTGTGATGAGTTATAGACCATAAAAACTTAATCATGCACAGATAATTATTAGAGTTGGGTAACAGATAAATGAGAGTTATTTCATTCTCTCCACTGAAATTTTGCAAAAGAAAAACATTAAAAGGAAAAGTTGGATGAGGTGGGTTTGACAGCCATTGGCTGAAGAAGACATGAGGGGTTGGCAGTGTGAAGACAGTATGAAGCCCTAGATTGGTCACCAAACCAGAGATCCTGGGCAGCATTAATAGCAATCCTAAAACCAGGAAAGTTAGCAACCCTCTATAACTTGCCCTAGACAGCCACCTAGTAGTTCCTCATGGGGTGGAGGAGAAGGGGCTTCTCACAGCCAAAGACATGCCAGAGCAGAAAAGGGTACTAGAGTAAGAGGGCCTGTGTGAGTAAAGCCACCTGGAAACTTGCAGAAACTTATTCTGCAGAACTGGAATTAAAGAGAGGTACATGTAAATTATTCAGCGGTCTAAAAGCCTTGCTGCAGTACTGAGGAACAATCACATTCAAAAGGTCCAGGATAATGGCCTGCTGCCCCCTTGTGGGATTACAGAAGATCTTTTCCTTGGTGGGTTTTCCATACTCAAAGCTTCAAAGCTCCCTAGTTTGCACAGGGCTAATCCACCTCCCCCATGTTTAACTGGTTCCGAAGGCCTTCTCCAGTCCCTGCTTCCATCTCTGACCTGCTTCTCAAAGTATCTTCTCCTCTACCCTCCTCTTCCTCTCCCTTCGGGGACTTTGTCCACATCCTGTGTGCTCCTCTCCTTCTTAACACCCAGCTTCTAATCCAAAGTGTTTCCTGGTAGAGTCCCAACTGGTTCAGCTCTCAATCCATGCCTTCGAATATGATGTACAGCCTGCAGTACCTCCTCCAAATCATCAACAAGAGCAAAGGACAAAACCCACAGTCTTCAACTGGTCATTCAAAAGTGGACACAAACCGGTGCCAAGTGCCTCTCTTTTAATCTCTGCTCAAGGCCTCTGCGGCCCACTCCCCACCACCCTCAGAACTCTCACATCCAGCAAGCTCTCACCCTGCGTCGTGGCTTGTAGAGGCCTCCGCAGAGCAGATGATGCATCACAGCATCTTCCCGGTCTCGGCCACTGCGTACTGTGTCAATCACCTGCAGATCCAGACACGCTCCACTGCCACTCTCCCTCCTGCGGGAGGCAGGGACATGTATGCTAGGGAGTGGGCAGCACTGGTGAGGGGTAGGGCAGAGGCAAAGGTGCTGACAGATCTTCCCCAGAAGGGTTCTGGGGAGAAGAGCTTGAGGAAGGGCAGGCGAGGGCCCTCATGGACTCACAACAAGTTGGTGACAGAGGTCTCTGCCACAGAATTTCTGCTAGGCATAGAGGGTAGAGTAAGTCCTGTGGAGGATAAGACGTGGCCTCCCTGTAGGAGTCAAGACCGAGGTCAGACAAGGATCAGACAAAGGGGGCCAGACAGAGGGTAATAAAGAGAATAGCATGCATTAGTGATTATTTTGATCACTTTATTTTGTTTTAAGTGCGTGCTAAAGATTATTCAGGCTCTCAAACTATGCAAATACTGAACCATTGAGCTACCACCCCAGGCATTATTTTGTTCTTTCTTTTACCAGATAAATACTTCACATACTGAATTCTTAAAAATCTGACCTAGGTAGTCCTATGCTTATTCCTCACTGAGGAAACTGAAGCTCAGGGAATATAAGTAACTTATGTACGTACCAACCTATACATGATAACAGCTGAACTGTGTCTGTTGACTCCAGAGTCCAGCTGTTTCCCACCTTTCTGTACTGCCTGCCAGACTTTGTCAACACTAGGCTGGCTCCAGCAGCTGTGACCTCACAACACTCCTGAGTCAGCTGGGAATTCCAACTGCCTAGCTCCTGCTAACAAGCCTGCCTGCCTGTCATCCCTTACTGTTCTGCTCTACTGAGCACCTGTCTATCCACTGCTCGCCTACCTGGGAACTGCTGGCCCACCTGGTCCACAAAACTGATGGCATCTCTGATGTTGAGTCTGTAGTACACATCCCAGATCTGGTCTCTGATACGATAGGCTGACCGCCGCATCAACAGCTGACTCAGGTACTTCTTATCAAATTGTTCCCACCTATAGAGGATGCCAGGCCCAGCCCTGAGTACCATTCTCAAGGTGTGGCTGGCTGGCCCTTCCTCAGACAGGGCAGGGACATTGCCAGCGCTGGCCTGGCTTTCTTGGTATGAGTCTCAGCCAAGGAGAATCCCAAGGTTAGTCCCTGCTTTTTACAGCCTTTACAGTTTTAGGAGAGTCTGATATTAGTTTAAAGTTATTCCAAATAACTGTAAAAATTATAACCATAACAAAAAGTACTAAGGATAATCAAAATGGGGATTTGTCTTTGTCAGAGAGGCCAGAGGTCTCTAAGGAATCAATGCCTGTGGTTAGAGCTGAAGGGTGAGTCAAGTCTAAGGAAGAGGGAGGTGAGGCAGTGTTCTAGCAAACAGAACATGTACAATGGTCTCAGTGACTTGGACCACATGGCTCTAAGTATGGCCTGTGTAATTATCAGGCAGACCATCAAAAACAGAAGATTACATAATAGGGCTAGAATGCCGGACCATGCAGGGTCTGGCAGGCCACCCTGGGGAGTTTTGTCTTATCCTGAGAACACTGGGGTGCCACTGAAGGGCTCAGGCAAGGTCACCCAGCCTGAACCTGGCTGTGTCCCTTCTCAGAAGGGTGGCATATCCCCCATGCTGCCCTGGCTGGTAGGGCTACTGCTGCTGAAGGAGCCTCGGGGCAGCTCCCTCACCTGTCCCTCCAGTAGTGGTAACCATGGTGCCCCACAACGTCCTCCACTGCAGCCAGAATGTGGTCAAAAGTCTAGAATGGGGGTGGGTAGGGGGACTGGATCAGGACTCTGCCAACATAGGAGGAGGGAGAAAGGGCAGGTACGGGGCTGAGGTTCTGGTACCCACGTGCTCATGCAGCTCCTGGTTCAAGGTGGGTTTGTGATGATCACTCCTCTTCACCCTCAACCACTTGACCAGTGGCTTGATGGTCAAACCCTACGAACAGGTAGGAGGTGAGCCCTGCCCTATTCTGCTACCTGCAGCCTTTCTCCCAACAATTAGGCCTCAGCTCTACCTCTACCCATTCCACTCAATGTCTGAGAAGTCAGGTCCCTGCCTCCCCCAGTAGAAATGGAAGCCCCAGTCCCAAAATGTTCCAAGACTCTCCCAGGGCCTGCTGACCCTCCCCCACCTAGCCCCCTGGGCACTCCCACCTGCACGATGACTGTGAAGAAAACCACCACAATAGTGGTAGCCACAAAGTAGTCCTTGGCAGGGACCTTGGTCCTGTCCAGTAGGATGACGAGAGCAAAGGCCACAGCCCCCCGAAGGCCCCCATAGGACATCACCACCTGGTCAATCTTGTCCAGAGGAACCAGCCGGAACTGATTCAGCACCCATGTTTGCAGGACTACGCCTACAGCAGGAGGGAGGCCAGCAGGAGCAAGAAGTTGGGAGTGGAGGACACTGGAAATGGATGGCACCAAGCATCTGGGCTAAGGTCTGGCAGGGTTTGGGACAGGTGAGCATTGAGGGGAGCTTAGGAATTAATAAGGACGTGGACCGGGATTGTGGAATGAGTAGTGGGAGGAGAGGGGAAAGAAAAGGGACAGGGAAAAGAGTAGGGAATCAGAGGGTGTCAGCAATACCGATGGCTCGGAAGAACAGGATGAAGAAGAGGGTGCCTAGCACCAGCCCAGAGTCCCAGGCCCATTTGGAAGAGTCCACAGCTGAGATGCCAAGTAGCATGAAGATGACTGTTTCAGCACAGCTAGCAAGGGTTTTCATTGTATATTTGACAGCTGTGCGTGACTTATGGGAGATGTTGGCTTCCACGTATTTCTTACATCCCAGGCCACACATGGTCACCCTGGGAGAGAAACAAACTGCAAGTGAGGAACGGTCCGAAGGCTCAGTTTCTCTCAGGCTTGAGCGTACTGCAGGTGAGGGTGCAGCCCATCACACTGTATCACATTCTCCAGGCAAAAGCTCAGGGATGCATGGAGACTGCTAATCAGTGGCAGTCCTGGGATGAATACAGATCTCCAGGCTCCCCACTTAGTGCCTCTTGCTCTGAGTAGCAAACCCTCTGAGACATCCTTTAGGATGCTACACATAGAAACCAGAGGTTTCAGGCCTTGAAGTATCCTGGCAGCTTAGCCTGCACTTCAGGTAGAGGAAGGAGCCTTCAGGTACCCAGACAGTTTTCTAGGAAGATACCCTGAGGTTTTCTCTCCTCTGAGGAGAATCTGAGGTGTCTACTACCACAAGGACTCACTGACACCTAGAGTCCTTAAGCTCTTGCTTCTAGCCTTATAAAGTGTGACTATTTCCAGTGCCCTTTCTTGGTTTCCTGCCTGTGATACCCCCAGGACTCACGCAAGAATGGCAGACAACGAGGCCATTTCAGCAGTGAGGTAGGCTGCGTAGGCGAGGAGGAAGACCAGCAACGGCTCGATGATTCGGACCCGCTTGGTGAAGCGTGTGGTCAGGGCCAGGAGGAAGGCAAAGACTAAGCCCACGGCTGCCCCGCCCAGACTGACCACAAACAGGGAGGCTGGGGGAGGAGTGGGTTGTCAGCATGACCCTTGGCCCAGACCCTCCCCAGCTGGGCTGACAGGACTGCTACCTAGCAAGAAGTAGAGGAAGGTACCCACCACACTCCCTGGGGCTCAGGATTCCAGACTAGGATCCCGGGGCAAGCTCCACCCAGACCCCATTCCTCCATGGAGGAGAGTAAGAAATGAGGAAATTGGAATAGCCTCCTCTGTCCCGATGCTGGGTAGGTGGGTCTCAACAGCCCAGGGAAGGCAGACATTGAATGCTGGCCAAGTTTGGGGAAATACTGACCGACTCCCTTTAGGTAGTCAGTGGCCTGCACATTGGCAGAGCCCATCTCTACAAAGGAGTTGCAGACCTTGTACAGCACCTGAGTGACAAGAGGAGAGTCAGGATGTAGGAAGCCACAGAGGGCAAGTGGGTTAGAAAAGGAGAAAGCTCAGATCCTATTTCCTCCCCAGGGGGGCTAAGGAGAAGGGTCTGAGGCTAGTCAGATGGACCCAGTGGGCAGATCATGACAGCCTAGGGTCAGGGGTTGGCAGTCCCCTATACATCCTCACCACAGTGACTGCATCATTGAGCAGGGACTCGCCAAAGACGATGATAAAGAGAGTCTCGTTGACATGCACCTCCTCAAAGACAGCCAGCACAGCCACAGGGTCCACTGCCGATATGAGGCTTCCAAATAGCAAGAAGTCCAGCAGGCCAGCCTGTACCCTAGGGGCTATCAGGGAGAGACAAGAGACAAGACTGGTTGGTGAAGATGACTCTGCCTCCAATAGTACTCCTTGTGACTGGGAAGAAATAAAACCAAAGGGAATTTGGAAAGATGAGGGGACTACTGGCTTGTACCCTGGAGACTGAGCTGCCAGTGCCTAAGATCTGGCTTTGTAACTACCAGCTGTTGTGCAATGGGCGCTTGTCAAGGTAACATGACTTCTCTTAGCCAGACCTCCTCATCTACCTAACTCACAAGATGGCTACAAAACCATTCAGGTGCTGGTAATAAAAAGTGCAGCAACGGTAAAAGTAGTTGTCAGCAGGCAGAATTGGCTGCTGACTGTTTTTACTACCCAGTCAGTATAACAGGAAACGGTTTCTCCCACACCAATTTTCAGCAGGAAAGGAAGATCTGAACACAGTACGAAAAGTACCAAAGGTGGGACTTGAATATGTCAAATAACCCTGTGATCCTCAGTTTCCCAATACACAAAATGGAGATAATATCAACCTCAAAAAGTTTTTACTTAGCTAGTGCCTAATAAGTGGTAAGGAGCCAGTACCACCTATTATTAGAATTACTACTTGATAAGAATCTGAGGTCCTCCTATTCCTTCCTGCCCCAAATAGTTCACTTTTTATTAAGAAAACAAGCTGGAGTCCCCAGCTGGGAATTGCAAGCTTCTCCTTTTCACCTTAGAAGTCTGAATTTCCCATACCGGGACTGAATGGATTTCTTGGGTCAGGAAATAAAGAAGAGGGTGGGAGAGGGCCTTAATGCAGAACCTCAATAAAATGGCACCGAATGAGCATAAGGGGCTCTACTTTCCCTTCCATTAGCTGAGGTAAATTAGGGGCTGGAGAGATAGCACAGTGGTTAAGAGCACTGACTGCTTTTCCAGAGGATGCTGCTTCAAATCCCAGCATCCACATGGAGTTCCCAACTGTATGTAACTCCAGTTCCAGGGGATCTGACACCCTCACACACTTATACACAGACAAAAACCAATAAACATAAAATAAATCTTTTTTAAAAGTGAGGTAAACTTTACCTCACCAGAGTTTTTAGGAGGAGATAATGCCTAGTACAGAAAGAACAGGAAAGAATGCCTAGGATAGAAGTTAGCATTTTGTGGATTAGAATATGTGTTATTAGAAATAAAAACTAGAGAAGACCTGGCATAGTTTGGAGCTGTATCCTCAAGGAAGCATGGCTGGCAAGTGGCTTTGTGGTGTCAGAGGGCAGGAGGTGACAGTGCTCCTGTGGGCTCCTGCACTTCTGCAGCCCACACACAGCTGGGAACCAGGCCCCTGCTCAGCAGCCGTGCTGCAGAGACCAAAACTAGGACTGGTCTATCTGGAGCACTGCCATGCACTCCAGGTGGATGGACCTGCAACTAAGTTCCCAGGGAGCTCACCAGCACCCCACCTTCAGGGCTGACGAAGGGAGGTGGAGCTAGCAAGGGTTATTTTGTTGTTTGTTTTTAAGCCCAGATCCTAGGGTTACTCACCCACAAGTCCAGCCTGCTGCAGGCCCCAAAGGGCAACACCTGTCGTGAAGGCATTCCAGAGTGTGCCTACCACAGCGTAGGTGAGGATGGCACCCAAGTTGTCAAAAAACAGCCGGCTCGGCATGAAATAGCCTGAGTCTAGCACGATAGGAGGCAGCAGGAAAAGGAAGAAGGTCCCTGGCTCCAGCTGGTACTCAGCCTTCTTGGCCACGGCTAAGACAATGCCTCCTAGCACCAGGCCCAGCAAAATCAGCAAGCAGCTCTCAGGGACCAGAGATGTTACCTTCCGAGACAGGTGAAACACTGTAATGCAAGAAAAAGACAACAGGTATGAAGCCATGGAATATCCTCCCTAGGACCAACGGAAGAAGAAACATAGACTCTCTAGAATCCCCACCCTCAAAGGAATACAAACTCTCTGTGGCTCCAAGGCTTTTGCTTGCCTTTCAATTCCTGCTTTCTGGAAATGCCTCCTCTTCTGTACTGCCATCCTCAGGAACTGACCGAATCTTTCTCTGACCTCCCTTATCCACAGCAATCTTCTGAAGTTAAGCAAATGCTAACCAGTCTCTCTCTACATCATGGACACAATTGCTAGAAAAATCAGGGGCTCAAAAGTCAAGCTGCTTGGGTTTGAAGACTAGTACCTCCATTTATCCATTCTTTGACTCTCAATTTTCTCATCAGCAAAATGGGAACAAAAACAATAACGATCAAATAGGTTGGTTGTGAAGGTTGAATAAAACAACCTACTTATAAGCATTTAGAGCTGGGCCTAGTAGGAAAGACCTGTGATCAATTTAGCAAGTTTGTCTTAAAATAGTCAGGACATCGCTCAGTTACAGAACACTGGATGGTAAAGCATATCCTACCACTTATGAGGTTCTAGACTCAAACTCCAGTAACTGATTGTGGGGCAGAGAACCACGTACAGTGGCACACACCTGTCATCCCAGCACTTGGAGGGCTGAGGTAAAAGGATTGCTGTGATTCAAGGTAAACCTGGTTTAGGGTGTTTGCTAAAGATTCATTTATTTTTATTTTATGTGAATGAGTATTTGCATGTATGTAAGTGCATCATGTATGTGTCTGGTGTCTGAGGAGGCCAGTAGAGGGTGTCTACTCTCTACACAGTAGAACAGCTGCTACAGGCAGTTGTGAACTATCACATGTGTACTGGGAACCAAACTGGAGTCCTCTGCAAGAGCAGCCAACACTTTTTTTTTTAAACTGCTGAGTTAAACCTAGTTTATATAATGACTTCAAGGCTAGCCTGGACTTTTTCTCACCTTTCACTCCCCCCTCAAAAAAGCACTTAGCACATTGATTTTATAATAAGCACTCAATAAATGTTTGCTATTAATATAACTTAATCTATGTTAATATAGTATTATACTACATACACATATATGCACATGCACACTTAGCTTCTTTTAGAAGCACTATAGGCTTCCCAACCAAAAGTACATATTTCTTTTTATTGGCTCAGTTTAATGAGTCCATGGTGGTTCATGCCTTTAATCCCAACACTTGGGAAGCCAGCCTGATCTACAAATTGATTGCCAGGACAGTCCCACAGAAAGCCCCTATCTTAAAAAAACAATAATAATAATAAAATACAATAAAAAAAGTAAAAAAGAAAAGGATTCTCAACATTATTGCTTCTCCTCCTTTGTCCCTAAAATACATACGGTTCTCCCCTGGGCTCTCAGACTATGCCCCATACAGTCTTTCAGGCACTGGTAGGGGAAGGATCCTTATTAATCTGAGCCCGAGCCAAAGCTGCACCCACAGGGCCTATGACTACCTAGCACTCCGTGGACTCTGCATCAGAATTATTGAATGAAAGGAAGGGGGACATTCTAGCTATGAAACTGGAAAGTGTTCCAAGACGCTCTGCTTGTCTTTCCCCTCCTCTCTGAGGATATTTTTTAGCTGGAGAGGATAACCTCTCCTTCCTCTCTAGAAGGTGTTATCCAATCTAGAAAAGACACCATTTGTCTATGATGTTGGTGCTGTAAACCTTAAGACAGAAACTCTTCTGCAATCCATGGTCTTCTCAACCAACCCAAACTGAAACATCTTCCTCCACCTTGCTGCCCCTGCTGCTGAATCTCTAGGGTGAGTTCAGACATACATTTTCTCATCTTCAGCCCCAACCTTGGTTCCCTTCTCCTCCCCTCAGATCCAGAACCTGTCAAAAAGTCAGTTCTCTGGCAGAATCAGGTTCCCTGAAGATATTTAGAGTTCCATTTGCCATTATTAATCCTGGACTGCCAGCTCCATTATACTCTATACCCCAACAATATCCCAGGGGAAAGGAGGCAACTCTAGGTTGTGAGATTCCTACATGAAGGCTTCATTGGTGAGACTGGAGTACAAGCTGTGCCAGCATAGATGGAGAGTGAGTAGCAACGCTCAGCTATAATTAGTCACCCCCACAGCAGAGCTTTAACAACAGAGAGAAAGGAGGAGGGTCTTTGCTGGGAGGAGGGGCTACCGTCAAAAAAGGGGAAGAGGCAAGGCAAAGCATCTCTAATGGGGGATGTGTGAATCTGAGGCACAGCCTTCAATGTGAGGACTTGAAGGAGGCCGAATATATGAGAGCATCCAGGGTAGTCAGAACACAGTAAAGACCCATTAATGTAAGTTTCTTATACCTCGAAGAGAGGAGTATGAATTGGAGGGTGGGGTTGCACCAAGGCGCAAGAAGATGGCAACATCTTTAAGTGGGGTAGAGAGATAAGCTACAGGAAAAGTGACAGGTTAGTTAGTATCTCAGGAGATATTAAATCTCAGACTCTCGGCTAGGAAAGGATAATTTCTCGGAACCAGAATGCCTGGGTTTCCAAGAGAATATCATCTCTTCAATGTCCCCGTGAGTCCTCATCACTGACAGATTTCTGAGAGGCCTTACTGGCGTTTACTGAGGAGGGCTAACTGCAAAGGGAAGGGGAAACTGGGGAACAGTCCAAAGATGGAGCTGAAGAGAGCAGCGACAGGCAGCCCTTTAGAAAGGCAAATCCTCTAAACTACCAACCCAGAAGGGGAGGCACAGGAACTGGGTGAGAACCGAGATGTGGTTCTCAGCACAGTGCAAGACGCAGGACTGGATCTGGAGACCCAGGGGTTTGGAGGCGGGTCTGCTGCGGGCAGCTGGCCTGGGAGCCGGCGCGCGAACACAAACACACACACACACACACACTCACCGATTTTAGCCAGGCTGGCCACCAGAATCCACAGGGCCACCAGGTAGGGCGCCTCCACCTCGTGCCACTGCCAGCGGAAGAGCGCCAAACCTGGAGGAGGCTCACCCAACGGCACCGACTCCTGGGTGGGTTTGTCTGTGGTCCCCGCCCCCGCCAGGGGCAGCCAGGGCAGAAACAGTGCGGCGCGCAGCATCCTGCAGCCTGCTTCGCCACCCTCCCGGCACTGCGCGGTCGCCGGCCCCGCGTCGCTGCCGCCGCCGCTGCCGCCGCCGCCTACCCGGCGCCCCCGCGTCATAGGCACGTGGGGCTCACTCCCCCCAATCCCCGCTCTGATACCCCCAGGCCAGGTTCGGACCCCGAGACCCTGCCCAGGACTCTTGTTGGTATCCCCTCCTCCATTTCTTCTAGGTTAGTCTCACCTACAGAAATTACCCAGCGTAGCCTTCCTTTCCCCTAGTCCTGAAATCCACTCCTTCGAGTATGCTCCCCTAAACCGCCTCTCACCGGCGTTCAGAGAGGTAACCAGCCACCGCGTCCCGGGGACAACGGAAAGGACAGGGGTCTCGGGGGAGTAGACAAGCGCGGCTCCTCCGCAGAAAGCCGCCCAACTGCGGGCCATTGACCCCTGGTGCTCAGGCCACGGGTCCCGGTGCCTCGTCGTGGAAAACCGCAGGGGCGTTGCGGTGCTGCCTCTTAACACATCTCCAAACCCTAGGACCCCCTACTGGCCCACTCTCAGAATAGAGCTGCGCACGCGCACTGAGCACTCCCAGAAAGCCGTGATGGACAACGTACTCAGAAACCTCTAGGCCAGGACCGATCCCAGCTCATCCCAAGTTTAAAAGAAGGCTATTCCTCTTCTCTCCGCAACGGAAAGGCACCGCCTTCCCTTTTCTTCAAACTACAGGAAATTTAACTATTCACCTATTCCAAGCATCAGAGAGGATCTTATGGAATTCCCTTTAAACTAGGAACAACTTGGGGCATTTGACTTATCTCGCTCCAAACCGAAGACTGTCTCCACTTTTCATTCATCACCCAAGCTGAAGGAACATGTGCTACCTGCCTCCTCACACTGACTCATTCCATTCTTTTTCGAGAAAGAGCACTCGTTTCTCCCCCCCTCCACAGCTAAAGGGGACTGAATCCACCTCTTCCTTAAATATGAAATCTATTTTCACTTCTTGTTTCAAACTGAAAAAGATCCTTCTCATTGCTTTCTCCAATGAGAGAAATTCTTTCACTGATCTTCAAAGCTGATAACTAGTCCCGTCTTCTTCCTTAACTGAGAGTGGCCCAGCTAAAGGAGAGAGTATCCGAAGAGATTTACTTCCAAACTGCCCTGAGATACCCGCAAAGACCCGCTGCAGTCTCGCCCATACCAAGCCTAAAGCAAACCTCCCCGCCTTCTGCTCTGAGGCGGAGCGGGAGCTCGGCTTTTCCCGCCCTTTACCAGGGGAGCTAACGGGATCACCAGATCTCTGAGTGGCTGACCCAAGCGCCGCCTCTGGCAGTGGTTAACCCCAAGCGCGCGCTCTCTCGGCCTACTCTTGGCTCCACCCCCTTCCTCAGCCCCACCTCCTCCTGGCCCCGCCCCTCCAGCAGCCAGTGTCCGGGCCCGGCCCAAACAGTCAAGTTAGTCGTGCTGAAGTTGCAGCCGTGCGGGGACAGAGGCGATCGGTAGTAGCCGGTGGCAGAGCCATGGCGGGCGAGGAAGAGCGCGGGGATGGGGACCCAGTATCAGTGGTAACCGTGAGAGTGCAGTACCTGGAAGACACCGACCCTTTCGCATGTGCCAACTTCCCGGAACCACGCCGGGCCCCCACCTGCAGCCTGGACGGGGCTCTGCCCCTGAGTGCGCAGGTCCCTGCGCTGCACCGCCTCCTGGGGGCACCTCTCAAGGTGAGGGGGCTGTGGAGAAATTTGCGCTCGGGATTGAGGTGGCATTAGCAGTGCTTCTAGAATAGAGGCTGTAGCGGATGCTCGCCTCCGGAAAAGTCTCCGGCCGGGGTCCCATGGTCTACGCTACTCTGCCTACAGGGGGAGACTCTCAAATTGAGATATTGTAGAAGGAAAATGAGAGTTTGTGATTTGCTCCACCCAGGCTTCCCTTGAAAGTAAGGCCCTTCTAGAGCGGTGTTTGGGGTCCCCTCGCTGTCTGTTTGTTAGGGTTGCTGCAGTGGGCAGAGGGTCGGTTGCCATTCGGGTTATAGCGGATCGGGAAGTGGAGTTAGGGAGGGACCGGTTTCCACCTGCTTCAGGTAAATTGGGGGCGGGGCCATAAAAGGGGCGGGCCTAGGGAGGACCTGGAGAGGAGGCCAGGGCTTAGAACCTAGAGGCTGGGGTGGGTCCTTGGAAAACAGTCTCTCCTGGGCTAGTGGAGATTGGGAGTGCTCGCCAAGATAAAGGAGTCCCTTGGAAGCAGCCGATCCTTCACTTTGCGGAGCACACACGGATGGAAAAGCCCTTTGAGTCACCGCCCCCACGGTCCCTTAGGTCCCCCGCTGATAGCCTACGCCTGGAAGGGAGAAGGCGGGCCAGGCTAATTTTAAACTGCTGGCCTGTCCTAGTTTGCTGGCGGTCCTAGGCTGACTTTGCACAGTTAGAGAGGCTTATTTCCAGATGGCCAGAGGGACCACCCCTCCCTCCAGCTCGCCTCCTCCAACCCCCCGCAGGCATCCCTTTCCGGCTTGCTTTTTCCGGGCCAGGACTCCCGGAGGCGTACAGACTACCACCCCAGGGTTCCCGACCTGTGGGTTAGCTGGGAGCAGTGAAGAAGAAGGGAGGGAGTCGGTGGGGTGCCTCAACTGGGCGCGGAGTTGCGTAAACATGGCCCCTAGGCCCGGGGTCTCCCCTGGAATGTGCCCTGAGTTAGCTCCAGGCCCCCAGACTGCATTCCTTGCGTTGCAGCCAGCCCCGCCTCCAAGTGCAGGCAGGAGGGTGTCAGGGAAACTTGGCCTGGGGAGTGCCGGGTATCTAGGCAGAGCCCCAGCTTTAAGACCACAGCTGGAAGGATGCCACGTATGCCCACCTCCAGAGTTTTGGTGTAGTCAGCTCCTCCTGTTCTGTTCACAGGGGTCTGGAGAAAGCATTCCAGTCTGAGGTCACCTGGCATTCAGACTGACGACAGAGAAAAGGGTGCTGAACTAGAAATGTTCGGACAGACCGGGGAGAAAGATGTTGAACTGAGACCGCTTAGCCTCTAAAAAAGTCATTGGCCAGAAATAAGGCGCTAAAGCCATAGCATTTATATGCAAGGCTCTGGGTTTGATTCATGCACACCACAATACATATATACTTAAGGCCAGAAAGAAGGCAATAATTCTCTCCTTCCCTCACTCTAGGACATCCCCCTTCACAGTTGGGAGCCAGACTGGATTATTTAAAAATGAGGTTCAGAGCCTCCTACTTCATTTAGAAAATTTATTGCATGTACAGCGAGGCTCCTGGGTTCAGTGTGCTGTGGGTATGTGGGTGTGTGTGGGTGTATAGTATGAATGGATATAAGACTGTCTTCCCAACCAGGTGCTGTGTATTGTTCTCTGCTCCTTAGCTGAGGACCCCACATGAGCTTCATGAAAGATGTGTTTCTTACCCCAGCTCTGTATGTATCTCTTGGTGTGACCACCTTCAGGATTTCCTACCTGCTGCATGGAGATCTGCCCCTTCCCCCACTTCAATGAGGCTTTGGGAAAGGCATAAAGTTACACTGTTTAGAGCCAGAACTCCCCGGAGTTGACAGCTTTGCCAGGAATGGTCAGATGCACTGGGATGTGCTTGTCCCAAATATAAACTGTGACCACAGACTCAAAATAGAAGGTTGGAGGAAGAGGGACTGAGAATAGGGCAGGGACAGGGACATCAGAGAACTGAGGGCAGAGGAGAGCAGGGCTCCCTGCAGGAAGTTTCAACAGCTGGTTCCTCTCCAGAGCCTGTAAGCGGATGCCCCAGAAGCACAGTATACCTTGCTTACCTTCTAGATGGAAGAGATGGCTGGAAAGCCACGTATCCCTGTTGTAGACTATAGGGCAAAAATAGGGCGACAGGTTCTCCCTGTCCAATGCTTCATTCTATGTGTAGTTGTCTGGAAGAAGGTAGATCAAGGTACAATCAAGAGACCTCTGCCCACCCATTCTGGATACTGGTCTCTATCACCCTTGCAGACCCTGCAGCCTCCCTGGGATCCTACCCCTCACCCTACTAGACTCCAGTTCCTCCTGAGGCACCCTTTTTAAGCCACACAGAGTTTGCCAGTCTGAGAAACTTTGCTCATTTCCTCCATGTCTAGGAGGAAGCTCCTGGCCACAGCCTCTGACTCATCTTCTGTCCTGGTTGGGGGTGGGGGAGCCTGGCAATACCATAGGCTAGGCAGTGTCCCTACAGGAACTCTCAGAGTCTTTCTCCCATTTAAGCTTAGGCTCTTTCAGCCTAAGGACTTTCCTTGCCTGGGGGGAGAATTGACCCTTTGATGTCTTAAACCCTAATTCCAATATACAAGTCTTAGCTTTCCCTTTGGAAAGAGCTTTTCCGGAGAGCCAAGCTCCACTGCAACTAGGGTATCACTGACATTTATTTCCTTGGGCTCTGGGCAGAGGAACCTAGAATGCTTCTTGAACCTTGCATTAAAGCCTGGAGAGCCTTACTGACAGGCAAAGATTGTCCTTCAGTGTTTGGCCCTTACCATCAGTCTCCTTGGCTGTCAGACTAAAAGAGAGCAAAGGTGCAAAGGTGAACAAAGGTACCAGAATATGCCATGACTCTGCTCCAGCCTCAGTTTACTCCTATAGCTCTTGTGGCAAGAGAGCTCAGGTGTGAATTTGACCTGCAGGGATAGATTTTTTTTTTTTGGTTTTCTGCAGGATCAAACCCAGGGCCTTAGGCATGTTAGGTAGGCACTACACACCTGAGCTACATACCCACCCACCCTACTCCTCCACCTAAGATTTTTTTTCTTTCCAGTAAGTGTGGTTTCACACAGTGTCTTCAAATTCTTCTTGCCTTAGGTCATGAATGCAAGTGTTATAAGTATATGCTGCCATGCCCAACCCCCCTATGAATTAAGAGGTCTGTGGGTATGTGGTGGGGGAGGGAGCACTTATCTGCTGATAAAGTGAGTTCTTTAGTCCTCTGCGAAGGGAGTCTCCAGAAAACTAGAAAACTGGAGTAGGAGCATGAGTTGCAGTTTCCTAGTCTTCCTGTAGTCTGCATGTTTCATCTGCTGGTCCTTCTAAACTAAAGAGGTTTGCAGGGTCTGGTAAGAGACGAGCCTACAGCGTAGACCCTGGAAGTGGTGACAGGCCAAAGTGGACAGTTTTCCTAGTGTCTGTGTGTTTGCTTGTTTGTGCTCTTTCACTAGAACTGGGAAGACCAGTTTGGGCTATTTGCAGAATCCAAGAAGTTTAGGAGCAATATTGTAGGCCCCCACCCTCCATCCACTTCTGTCAAGGTTTTCTGGAACATTTCCAAGACCCATCCACTTAAGATATGGGTCAGTTAACCCTGGTTCCATTATGGTCTGTGTTTGCTTGTGGATTTGTTTTGGATTTTTGTTTTGCCTTTTTTTTTTTTTTTTTTTTTTTTTTTTTGAGACAAGACCTCTCTGTGGAGGCCTAGGTGGCCTGGACCT